ACCCTATATATATATTTTTGCCTTTAGTACTTTAATGTGTCATTGAACTAGAAAAAGTCATGACTGCTGAAACGTCAAAGTAGAGGGGCTGTATCTCTGTTCCTGCCCCGCTGTGACTCTAGATGTCATTTATCTTGTAGGTGTAGTATGCTTCTTAGATCAGAGACTTAAGTTGCTCCTACATAGGCTGAGGGTCAGGGCGGCAGGGTGGTGTGGTCTTTATGCATTGGGCTGCAGTATGTGTGGTTGGTCCAGTAGAACCTCGGACCTCGACGCTAATCCGTTCTAGAAGGAGCAACGAGATGCGCTGCAGTCAAGTTCCGAAACAACTGTCCCCATAGGAAATAACTGGAAATGGAGTAATCCATTCTCAACCACCAAGTTTTTACCCTAACCTGGTCTTTTTATATAAAACAGTATGCACAAATTTCAAAGTAAATAAGTTCAGAGTTAAATAATATAATTTAAGTAAGAAACACAACATTAAAAAAGTTTTTAACAAACTACAGTTTGGCCCAGTCCTTGAGACAGATGAGGATCTGGATCTGTGGACACGATGTGGAGAGGAGGGATGGAAAGAGAGTCACTGTTTGGAAGGGGAATCCCCTTCCATAAAATCACCTGTAGCTGCTTTTTAGGAGTTTTTTCTCCTTCTTTACCTTTTTTTCACTAGGACCTACCTGGCTGGTTTTCTCTAAAACGAACAAAAAAATCTGTCTAATGTGGTCTGCTGTTGGCATTTCCTTAACTATTTTCTAAAAGGGTTTACTAAATTATCATCAACATAACACAGTTAACCAGTTCTTTATCATGATGATTCTTTTCAAAACACTCTTTCTTAGAACCCATGTTTTTTATCCAAAAATAGTATGAAAAGCCATGAAAGCTAAGAAAATTGTAGCAAAACACTTGGAACACAGCCAAAAAAGGTTTAAACAACACATCGGCACAACGCCAATTAACGCTGAGTGACCAAAACACAAACTGCTTTTGTTTACAGAATTCACGAGTGTCCGGTCAGATTCCAATATTTTGTTCAAGCTCCCAGACAAAATTTTCTCGATCTTCCGTGTGGAAATCCGATGATGTGGAACACTGATTCGATCCGGTACCGGGTTCTGCAGTGGTTTGCAAAGGCTAGCAGCTCGGCTTTCCCCTCCGGTCTCAGAAACCCCCGGGGTCACTATGAGTCCCCATTGCCTCCGTGGCCAGGAGTTCGGTCTGTGGAAGGCTGACTGTGGGTCGTGCTTCTGGGAGAGGAATGCAAATTGCTCCTCTTTTCTCTCCAGGATCATAAGGTTTGATAAGCTTACCAGCTTGTTCTTTCAAGGAACTATCAATTCCTAAATATTTTCAGCAAATTTTGAATTACGATGGAAAAATGAATCTAAAAGTGAAGGTATGTGCTTCTTGAGAAACACAGGTAGGACACTTTATCTCTTGAGTGTATAGATCAAATACCATTATCACGTATGGTTTAATGTTGGAAACTATAAAACCTTTTTACACATGTGTTTCTCTGCCAGGTAGTTATTTTCTGAAGCCCTGACTTTGAAGTATTTATATTTTAATCTATTATAGTTTGGGGGGAAATAGCTCTGCTACGCATGCTAGCTTTCAGTGTCTGTTACTGGCTGTTTGTTTTCAAAATATGATTTAGTCTAGGAAAGAAATTGAAAAACGCGAAATACTGTAATGAGACAGTGGAGTAATCAAACATTTATTCGTGTGCCTTCCCTTTGGGGGAAGGCAGGCTTTGGTGTGTGCGATCTTCCGTCTAGCAAAGGCACCATATTGCAGAGTAGCTTATGAAGTCAAGCATGCATCTTTTTCAATGTGCTGCTTTCTTTCATTTACTATATTCTCTTCTATTTGGTTGCCTCTCACAGGGATGTGATTTGAAGAAAAAGGTTTACACCATTCATTTAGGGTGTGGTCTTTGATCACAGTAGCCAAGAAGCAAAGTCTCCCAGCCAAATTTTATTGGCAATCCAAGAGTAATCAGGGGAATTAAGAAAATATATTTGAGCATCTTGAGATGGAATGATGTAATTGTATTATTTTATCCCCAGTTATTTTAAGAAAACCTTGCTATCCCCTTATCTTCTATAGACATTTGTATTTTCAGTGGCTCAGGCTACAAAGCCATTTGATTTTACCATTAGTCTCTGTTGTTAATGTTGCTTCATACTAACAAGCTAAAGTTTTAAATAATTGCTAGAGTACCTTTAGAAGAAAAATTGGCTATATAATTTGGATTGTCAAGCCAGCTGGGAGTAAGAAACACAGAGGAAGTTTGGGATTTTATCACCTTTGGGATTGTATCACCTGAGATTTTTACCATGCATTCCTATGGAGTCCTGGGAAGCTGCGAATGTGGTAAAGTGGGTGTGGAGAAGAAAATAGCAGAAATAAATGTAAACTATTTTTTCTCTTTAACAGTATTTTAAAATGAGTCAAATACATTTTTAATTGATAAACTGACTTTATATTCACCTATTGGAAACAGTACAACATATTTTACATTGGATTATGAAATATGGATGTTTTACTAAAAGACAGGAAGATCTTTTCTTTTTTCCAGTCTTTAAAGTAAATACATATTCAAAGGATCTTAAGGCATACCATTTATTCATATTCATATCTATTGAAATACTGTACATCCACATACTTCAATAAATAGTTAAAAACCTGACCTCTTTTAAAATCATTTTTGGATTTCAAAACAAAAACCAAAACAAAACCAATTTTTATTCAAAAGATTAAATAGGTAACTCTTGGCTGTGTCACAAAGCTAAACACAATGGATAAATTAACAATTACTCAGTAAATTTGATTAACATAGTTAATTGGCTTTGATAATCCAGTTTTTCACCTCCACACATAGGGGTACATATACATATGTTTGGGGTTTTTTTTGTCCTGAATTATCTGGGTTATTTTCTCAGTTTTTCAGTCTACTTTCTAGATATAGCTTAAAAGTTCTGATGAAACATTCGATTTTCAACTAAGTTCTAACCCCCCAAATGTGGCATTAAGTTCGAAATTCTCTCTCTGAAATCTTTTAATGTCACAAAGAAAAACAAAAACAACAAAAAGCCCAGGGTTGGCGGAAGGGAGCCAAACAACTGAAAGGAAAAAAGAAAAATCCCAAACCCTACAATTTGGGCAGTACTTTCCATAATATAATTACTGCATCATAGGAACTTAGTGGTGTAAAGGACCTATGTTCCCAATGGGATTCTTAGAAAATATAATCACACTGCTTACATTTAAAGCAGAATGTAACCGAAAACGGTAACTCTCCTAATATTCCAGTCTGCCCTTCAGTAAGTCTTTTTAGCTCTTTTCCTTCTATTCTTTCCTTTCTTCCTTCTTCTCTTTCTTTTCTGTCTCCTTATTTACCTTCCTTCCTTTTCTGGATCTCTCCTTTTCTCTCCTCTGTTCCCCTTTTTCTTTCTTCCTTCCTTTCTTGGAGAAAAAAACCAAACCTACAGGGGCAACACAGTGAGTTCCACAAATGAAACTTGTGGAACTTAAACAATGCTGAAATGAATGGCTAGAAAAAGTTGTTATACATCAAAAGATAAATCAATTTTATAAAACTGCTATTCTGAAATTGCAACAATCTTGTACAGTCAGGACTGATAAAATGGAATAATCAAACATTTCTTTATGTCCATAAATGTAAAATCATCTACTTGAACATTATATGCAATACATTCACACAGGAAAGCAAATACTGTAGTCTTATTTGAACAATATTTAACTCATAATACTCATGATTTCACTCTGTCCAGGGCCCTATGGACTGGGAATGCTGCTGTGATACAGAAAAACATAGTCAATACCTCCTCTATTTAAAAATGTCACCCAAGAAAGTCTCTTCTAACATAACGGCAAATACATGTAGCTACCGAGCTATGACTGTACTTCTGTCACATTCTATGGAAAAACACCAGACTCCACAAATTCGGAATCATGACAACACTTCGAACTAATTATTTGGTTCATCCATAGTTAGACCTCGATTTACCTCACACTTACCCTACACACCTTACAAAGAGGAGGTATTTTTAACGCTAGGAAAGCAGTCACTGAATAGGATGCAATCTTGATCTGTTTCTTTTCCCCAAGCAATGGTACTGATGGGTAACACTTTTGTGGTAGCACCACTATTTCTGGTAAGTAGATTAGTATGGAGTGTGCCACTTTAAAGCTGCAATACAAAAACAATACTTGGTATCTTATTCACCAATTCCACAAAAATATTTTTTTTAAAAATCAATAATAATCCAAGTTAAAATGTCCTATTGTTAAAAATGCCTTTAAGCATATCAGTCAAAATAATGTAATACATTATCACAGTTATTGAATTTAATAGCACTCTGCCGTATTATTGCCATTTTGTGGGGAAAATATTTGTGCCCTTTTACTTATACTTCATGCCTTCTTCTTCAAATAGATTTATGGTGTACTTTGGGACTAATTTTTTTTAATATCATACTTTTCAAGCCATATCTTCAAGGGCAAAACATTAGATGTTTTCAATATGTACAAGCTCTGTGATATTTCTTGTGTCTAATTTTACTATCAAGGGTTTATTCTTGTAAAATGGGACCATTTGCAGAAATGTCCCTAGGAGTAATTGATAACCATGCTACATATAGAACAGCTCTCCTGGCTATGGAATTTCTTTGTCATTGCTGTGTGCTCTGGATTAAATTTCAACTCAGCGTGACATTGTAGGACAGGGTAGAACTGCCGCATAGGGTTGACTGGGCTGTCATATTTAAAGGAACAGATCTGTAAATCTTTTCTCTCATAGAGTAGCTGGTGGATTCGAACTATCAACTTTTCAGGTAGCAGCTGAGTGCTTAATTGTTGAGCCATGAGGCCTCCTGGGTATTTCTTTAATAGAGTGAAAGCATTGACTTATTCCTGTAATGTAACACTTCTTAGAATAATAGCACTTTTCTTGTAAGATGCAATTTTCATTCTTTAAATCGGGAGTAGTTTACAGATATCTTAAAAGAAGGGCTAACACATGAGTTTTGATGGTTGTTATAGTCAGGGTTTTTTTGTTTTGTTTTTACCCTGTGTTTGAACTGAAATGGTTATAGAACTTAAATTTATTGTAGATTTCGTTATTTCAGGGATTAATCTGCTGCACAATAGCATATTGTACTTGTTGAAATATAATTTGGAGCATGATTTTGTACAACATATATTCCAGACTGAATGATGGGCTCACAGAGAGTATGTGCACAGTTCTCCTGTCTAGAGGAGAACTCTAGGCTCGGTCCCCCAAACGTAGCTGCTACAGAACCAAATTCAGTTGGAGTGTTTATCAACTAGTGTTATTAGGTGAAGGGACTTTGTGTCCTTTCTGACAAACCATGTTCAAGATTTTGGTTTGGAATAGTGAAAGGCAGAGTTGCTATCTCTGTACATATATTTTTAAGTTGCTATCTATATTGCTAGGCAATCTTACATGGTCTGTGCTGTCATTTTAAAGAGAATTATTTTCCATAGTGGATGTAACTTTGAGCTACAACTAAAGAAATCATACACTAAATTTATCTGTGCTCTGTTAAATTGTTTTTCATCCCCCAAACTGAGTTATTGTGAGTCAAAATTATCAAACCACACTGGTAATGAGGGAAGAAATTTTTACAGTCTAATAGCGTCTTCATTCTTTAGAGATATGATATAGTTTAAGTCTACCGTTTTGGCTTCCTTTTGTTTTCAAATTTTAGCATCTAACAAACAGTTGTAATCATTGGAGATGAAGCTAAAAAGATTAGTTTATGAGGGCACACCATGCTGAACTTACAGGAAGGAGAAGCAGAGGTGCACAGCCAGTTATATGACAAGGCTCATTCCTGAAACCTGAATATCATGCGAGCAGAAAAATCTAGATATGTGCTATATTTTGAAGAAATGATCTGAAGGCAATATTATTTGCTTTTTTATCAAAAAGGAAAAAAAATGCATCTTTGTAAATGTGGATTGAAACAGGGAGCTGAATGCTTGTACTGCAGCCTTAAAGAATCACATATTCACTGCAATATTCGTTTTTGTAAACTACAGCCTGCAACCTAGCAGACCATGACTGAATGCTTTTGAAAAGTTGTAGATTACAAACATGAAATCACAATTAATATCCTCTAAAAGTAATTTCAGAGCTTTCACATCTTAAAAAAAGGACAATGTGTACTGCTTCACAAGGTAATGTAGCTAATCAAAAAAAGAGTAGAATTAAAGTATTTACATAATGAGCAATTCTACAGAAGGCGATCATCCCCATGTAAGCACTGCTGATTATATCCCACGCTGCTTTTAACAAACTGTACCAGATTGCATCCAGCCATCAGCACTTTCAGAGAATCCTTAAAAGCCTTTTTTGGGTCTTTTAATTTATTGTAGCATGGCATTCTTCAGGTAGAATATGCTGGTGAAAGAGGACAGTGTCAACACAAGGTGCCAGCAGGAGAATACAATGTCAGCGCTCCCGGTGACTCCATACTGGGCAGTACTTGGAGCTGGAAAGAAATGGAAAAGATTAAATCAAAACCTCATTTGTGTCTTATCGCATCTTGACAAATATCAAAAGGCAGCTGGGTCTATTGGGAAGAGCACTGGCTTTTCAGAGTCACACAGCCTTAGGGTCACATCTGGTTCCGCTGTGTGACAATGTGTGGCCTGGTTGCCTGATCTCTCCAAGGTTCAGTTTTCTCAAGGGCAAAATAGAAACAATATAATACAACTGGCAGCACTATAGTGAGAGTTGGAAATGATGACTATACAGCGCATTAATGGCCTGTAAACGTAATTGGGCCAGACACATGTTAAGAACTCAATAAACAACAACTAACATTATTATTCCTTTTACATGCATTATAAGATTTGCATTAGTTAATAGTATTCACTCATGCATATATTTGTAGATCATTTTAACAAATGCGTTTAGCCAAAACTGCACTAAATACAGGAAAAGGAAAGAAAAAGTTCCCCTCCAAGGTAATTTTGTGTGTATGCTCTATGTGGGGAGAGATATTTAAGCATAATATAATCTTAGCAACCTGAAATTTCATATGTAAAATACAGTGACTGAGCCAAGCATGTATTAAAATCTGCCAGGACAAGAAAGGAGAGTTGTACGAGAACTTTACCACAGGAGATGTCCATTTGGGCAGCGCAAGCAACATGTGTGAAGGATCTAAAGATAAATAGGCCTCGCTGAAAGACAAGGTCTGCAGCCTGGTAGGAAAGTAATTGAAACTGCAGTTCCAGCCAGGAAGAATGATTTTGGTTGTAATGAAAGAAAAAAAAGTTTCCTTTTATACTGAAGGTGATTTTGAAGTAGTTAAATAGGTAGAATTGCATGATTACCTGTATACATTACAAAGAACATAGCTTTATATCGAGAGAAACTCATGCGAAGTGGCCATAGCACTCCCTGCAGAGTCACCGAGATAAGGGTTCTGTTGGGGTCTGTTGAAGGGAGAACAAAGACCTCCTTCCAGCAGATGGCGCTGGCTGCCTTGAATGTGCATTATGTGATGTTCCAGAAACTGCATGTCACAGACATGGTAGCCTTGCTCCAGATTGACTCTCTCTTGCAATAATACTACCAAACACAAAATCCACCCGCCAACATATTTTAATCTGTCTTTTCTTAATAAAACATGGATTTAAAGAAATTTTTCTAGTAGAAAAAATAAATAATGTAAAAAATAAATGTACTATTTCATTCTCACATCCATTACTCAAATCCAGGGACAATGTTCGTAACACTGAGTTTGAATTACCAGCAGTTAGTTTTTAATGGTACTCTTACAAATGACTATATTTCCATGCAATCAGAAGAATAAATTGTGTTGTTTACACTTCTAATAAATTAAAGGGAAAAAGATGCATTGACCAAGCTAGGGAGAAGTTTCCTTGACATTACAAGTGTAATTGTTGATTCCAGGTGAGTGGAATTTAAGCACTGGGTTATTAATCTTTAGGAAAGAGAGAGCAAACTTAACTATATAATGTTTCTTTTTGAATTACAAATGAGCTTCTTATGTGAAAAAACAACATAGAAAATAAGTCATATAAATAATTCTAATTTAGGGTCATGAAACTATTGTAATTACTTTGTGTGGTTCAAGACTTAGAAACATAATTTTGGGTCTTCAAAAAGTTGAATTTATTTCAATTCTATTTCCCACAACATTTTTGAAATCCCATTCTAACATTTTTCTTTTTAAAAATTCAACTAAATATTTTTTTGATACCTGAGTTCTCAATGACCTCAGCTTCAGAATAAGAAAAGCAGATAAAAGAATTTTATGAATAGAAAATATATTTTAAAAGCTAAGCATATAGTTCCAAAGTAGATTAATTTTTTTTATTTTGGTAAATTAAATAGTATGTTAAGTGTGTTGAATCTTGAGAACCTTCCCTTCTCCTGAAACTGAATTAATTCTCCCTTTGTGGTTGTTAGGAATCATACACATTCTTCTATTATACAACTGCATTGTAAATGTTCTTTACATAATTATTTCCCCAATTAGTAAATTCTCCTAGGTCACATCCCATTTATCTTTGTGTTTCCCTAATCTGGCAAGGTCTAGTACATAATATATAATCAATAACTATGTGATTCAACTATTCAATAATTCAACGATGTATTGAATAAATAATTTAATTAAGTAAATAGTTCAGAGTGAAATGAGTATTTCTATCGTGTAGATAAAGTCTCTTCTAAGCTAAGTCACTTGCCTATATGCTAGGAAATCCATTAATATTCATTGATTAAGCATATATTTATTGAAGTAGGCATGAAACACTGTTCTGAGTACTGAGATTACATCTAATAAGATAGGTGTGGTCCTTTTGCTACACAATTCTATAGTGTATCCTCTACCTTCAATGCCATTTGTCTCCCAAATGTGCCTGTCTCTTCTCCCACTTCTATTGTCTTCACAAGAATAAGATGCATCCACAATATAGGTGTATATGTAGGTTAGTATCACTTTATAATTAACCACCATATTTTCTTTTACTTATGCCTTAAATTGCTATCATTTTTATTTTTAATTAAAATAAGCCTGAGCTGGGTATAACATCACCGACCTTCAACCATTATGGACAATGGACAATGCAGAAGCACTTCGGACAATCAATAGATCAGAAGCAAAAGGTAAAGTTAGTCCAGGAAATATGTGCTCTCCTCCCTAATGCCAAGTTATGGTTCATCAGTCAGATGCCATACTGAACATATTCGATGTGCTGATGACTATATTACGCTACACAAGGCAAAGATAACTAAAACCTAATCCACTTTCTGAGGAAGGTTTCATTTGGAATATAAATAAAAGGCAAATATGTACCATTAGGCTATGTATACAGCTATAAAAATAGATAAAAACCTTCTATATACAAACATGGGAGGGTTTCCTACGGAGCCATAGGCCAAGGTTTGTATAGAAGAGTTAAAGTTAAATAACACAAGCAAACAATCAAGAAAACAGAGAGAACTATAATTATTATGTTATAAAATGCAGAAATCATAAACATGTCATTACACTTAAATTTTTTAAAAAATGGGTAGATAGTAGTCTATTTTTGGATTTTCCAGTATATATAACTTTATTCACCTTGATTAGTATTTATTTTGTGCTTATCTTGTGTGCGTGTGCATGTGATAGCTACATCAACTGTCCTGATAGAGAACACAGGGTTTATGATATTAAACTTAGAGGTCCTAGTACTATTTCAGTAAATCAGATTTGCTTGACAAATTAAATTCAAACCAGGTACTTTATGTAAAGGAATTATAGAAAGTGATTGATAGCTATGGGTGTAACTAGCACCAAGACTGAGCTCAAGAACCCTCTCCATTAAAAAGAAAGAAAATTCTTCATAATATTCTCCAGAACAAAATACCCACTGCTGTGGAGTTGATTCTAGCCCACAGACATCCTATAAGACAGAGTAGATCTACCCCTTGGGGTTTCTCTTTAGGTTTCAAAGAATGTACATTTTACAGAAGCTAACAACCTGAACTTTCTCCCTACGAGCAGCTAATGCGTTAAAATTGCTGATCTTTTGGGTAGAAACCCAACGGGTAACCGCTATGCCACCAGAGCCCCATCATATAAAATAAGCACTCCTAGTATGTAGGGACTTGTAGCATCATATCAACATGTCCATCTTGCCTGAGTAGATAAAAAGTGTTGTAAAGCAAAGGTTTATTATATATGTCTTTAATAATGCATTTGGTACTCAGTATATGCCCCATGAAAGTTTATTTAATGATTAAATGTTCGCATCCATTCCTGCATTGTCACTGAAAGCATGCAAGGAGACATAATATTTTGACTCATTTTCCCAGAAGAATATTGTCTTTCTTCACTCATAGTTTTATGACTTTTTCTATCCTAAATTTTAGATCCATTGATATTATTTTATGGCCCGTACAGTATTAGACGATCTCCATTCAACACCCTGAGCAAGAAGATAGATTAACAGATACATTGTATAGGGGGCGAACAAGTGAAACTTTTTGACATTACCCTCTCACTACAAAAGCCAGTGAATGTATATGAAGCTGTATCTCAAAAGAACGGCCCTGGATTTCTTAATTGTCACCCAACTGTGCTTCTATGGTGATCGAATCTGTTGTGGCCTTTCATTCATGTTGACAGTTATCATGCTGCTACTTTTCTCAGTAAATTTAGACAGATTAGACCTAGGATCAGAGAAGGAGTTGGGACATAGGAAAGGTTTAAATTGATTGAGTGTAAGAAGTATGTTAGTCTGGGTTGACTAGAGAAAAAAAATGCAGAGACATCCGTATGTGTGTAAGAGAAAGAAAGAGCTTTATATTAAAGAGCAATTGTACATTAAGAAAACATCCCAGCCTAGTCCAGATCAAGTCTGTAAGTCTGATATTAGCCCATATGTCTGATACTAGTCCATAAATCATCTTTAGACTCACACAGCCATGCAATGATGTTGAATGCAGGAAGATCACAGGTCAGTGGGTGGAAAGTTGTGGATCCAGTGGTGGTGGGAGCATCTAAGTGCTGGCATGGGTTTCCATGTGGCTCCTTCAGTTCCAGGGCTCTGGCTCCATCAGTGTAGCTCTATGTGGTGTGTCAACAGGAATGTCTCCAGGGAGACGAAGCAGAGAGAGTGTGTCTGGCCTCCAGTGAGCTCTTTGTGGGTGTGGCCTTCTCATAAGGAGTGCCCAGGGAACCTCCTCCTCTCTCTTTCTGTCTTCATTTTCCTGCCGGCTGACCTTTATTGCTGCTGGAGTCCTGCCACCACCATTGGATCCACATGGCTGCGCCCACTGACCTGTGAGCCTCCTGAATTCTGCATCATTGCTTGTGACTGCATTAGTCTGAAGAGGGACTTATGCACTCGGACCGGACTTATAGACTTGAGTTGGACTGGGTTGTGATGTTTTCTTGATATACAATTACTCCTTGATATAAAGCTCGTTCTTATACATATATGGGTGTCTCTGGATTTGTTTCACTTG